TATATAGATAGTTTTCGTGAGCTGAGACTTGCTTCATGAGAGGCTGTGAAAGGACTTGCAGGAAGCAGAGCTTTATTTGCCCAGGGCAGTAATGAATGGTAGCAGTTGACTTTCTGTTAACGTGACTAAACGCGCTGGTTTTAATTGGAGCGCAGTGGGGATATCTCTGTAGCACATGATGGAGTATTCCAGAAGGATTACTGCTTTGGCCAAATGTCTGAATATTCCCTGTCTCAGTGGATGAGTTGAAGATGATAAAGAAGTGTTTTATGGGATCTCCCCTGCACACACTGCTTAGGAATAGCCAAAGCCCACAGTTGCAGCGGCAGGTTACCAACGCTGAGATCTCAAGCTAACGGACTAGTCTTGACTTGCGAAGCCTTGACACTGATGGAGCACCTGCTCCATGTCCGGGGAGTGCCGGGAAAGATGCCCGCCAACTTCACTAAGCCTTAAATCCAACCCCAAGGCCCCGGGTCAACAAGGCACTTAAACCTATGCCTAATTGTAAAAATGTGCCTAGTCCTTAAAAATGCTGCAAGTCAACCTCATGCACGCACCTCTTACCAAATGGGGACTCGGTCCTTATGGCTGAGCCCTGGTTTCCTGAGAAAACTGTACCGTGGGTGTTTTTATAACAGCTCAGGCCCAAGCAATGCCGCCCTGCGGCTGTCGAACCATCGGGGCAGGCTCGGGGTATTCCCAGCTCCAAGGAGGTTGGTCCTTGCGTCCCCTTCTCCTCCCCTCCCGACTGCTGTGACAGCGCTGCTTCTTCTGGCTTATAATGGGTAGAAAAACAGCCATTGGATGCTTTTTTTCCTCCCTATGCCTTTGCTTTTGGAGGCTGATTGCTGGGCCAGAGTCTATTTGTAGTGACTCTGTCAACACATTGCAACTTTTCAGGCGGTGCGCGCCAGGGGACACTGGGCATAGGTGCTCTTTCATGAACTTAAAAATAAATAGGCGGCTGCAGTGTTACTAACATAAAACAGATTGTAGCACAGCCCTCCAGAGGTGATAGGGCTGAGTTATATCTGCTCCAGAGATGCAGCAGCTCGAATGTTTCTGGCCTCTTCCTTGACAAAGGTGAGCAGGGAGTGAAATGCCTGGACCAGTGCACATTCAGAACTGCTGACATAGAAATAAAATGGCTCGGAGTCACAATAGCCGAGTGCAAGCGAAACCTACTGTTTATTCAGCGAGTAAATACAGGACATCTTTGTATGGTGTCATTCATGCAAAAGTAGCGTAGAACCGAATGCTTCGCTGCCAGATAGGATCCGGCATGCAAATACAGGAAGAAAACCCGTTGCATTGCAAGGGGGCTCAGCGCCGCCGGATCTGGGGGCCTGCCAGCGTTTTATTAAATGGTATAGCCCAGCGCTATTCTCTGACCCTCTTCCAGGATAATGTGTGCAGAGCAATGGCTTCTTTGGGCATGGTGGTTTGCTTTGGTTTGAGTTGGAGTGCTGCTTGGTTCATTTGGTTATTTTTTAAATATCCCTGCTGCTAGGTACTGGCCAGGGAAGGCAAAACCAGAAGGTCTGAATCAGTGGGGCAGTTCAGCACCATGCTGAGGGAGGCTGTGCCCTCACCATGCATGGCTGGTGCACAAGCCAGAAGCAGGCGAATGCCAGTCTTGCGGTGCACCCACTTTCCAGTGACGTCTGCTGGGAATGTGATGTCCGGATGGTGTAGCGCAGTGAGGACATGTCTAAGTGCGGCATCACTGCCTCCTTTCATGTAGACGCGAGTCTGGTACTTGCAGCGAGGCTTTAGGTCGTGCTAAGTCCTTATGGAAGTTCACATTAAAAACCTGGCATCCTATGAAGCCAGGGGCTGTCACTGAAATGCGAACCTCTATTAAGAATTAACACAGGTTCTTCTCCGAGATGAACATAGCCTTCTCCTTATGCTTCCCATAAAAGAGATCTGTGGTAACCTTGGGAAGGGTTCAGAAATGCTTCTTTTTTTGGTGGCTGACATTGTGCGATGTTGTGGGGTTGCCAGCTGAAAATGTTGATTTGTGCAATGCTGTGAATCTGGGAAGCAGCATACAGAATTTTTGCAAGGCCTTTTTCTTCTGGAGGAAAAGGTGTCTGGAGACAGATTGAGGTACAGAATTAGCATCACACACTTAAGAGACAAGCTCAGATCCACGCCGAAAAAAATGTGCTTGTGTGTTTACGGCCAAATGAACTGTTCTGAATAAGGCTTGCGTGGATCAAGCACCCTGCTTTTTAGATACCAAGGCTATCTCAGATAAGCAAGCAGTAACTAGGTGGCACAACCAGCAAGTTATGAAGAAAGTCTGTGTTCACGACTTGCCCCTCCCTCTGAGATTGGCTTCCGCAGAAAAGCCAGCAGCAGCAACAGTCATGATGTTTAATAAAGAAGCAGTTTTGGGTTTGGTGAATTATAAAGTCAATGAAAAATGGATTTTTCAAGGCAACCAAAATCATGATGAATGAGGTTCAATACGGTGAATAGTCTTAACCGAGAAGGAAAAGATACAGAAATGTTGAAATGTTGTTGTCTCAAAAATAGATCTACGTTTCAAGAAAAAAGAAGTGTTACATAATGCCTAAAATAGATCATCTTAACTGAAATATTTCCAGTGTTTCATTCAGACCACCAGTCTGAAAGCTTCGTTATCCGTATAGCTGTAGTGCCGAGCAGGTTGAGTTTTCCTTGTCCCGTTCGTTCTTCCTTTCAGTGGCTAACCTGCATGCTAGAAAGTTTAGGCGTGTGATTAAGTATCTTGCTGTGTGAGAACCTATGAGCCAAGGACGGTTCTTAAATTGACTCCAAAGAAGTAGAAAGGTGTAGCAAGAAAACACGCCGGCTGTTTGTACCTAACTATACCAATACGATGCCCCATTCAGAATAATCACAACTGGCACATGATTTATTGATCACCGGCCACCAGCCAGCAAATAAAAAGAGAAGAACTTGTTGCAGAAGATCCCAGATTAGTAATGGATTATGGTTCTAATCCTGCAAGCCCATCAGTGATTATAGCCAAGTACATGGCACATTACACAACTATTCCCTGCCTTAGAGGAACTGATGCGCGTACGGTTTTGCAGGATTGGGCATGCAGACTTAAGAATGAGCGCTGGCAGATACCGGAGAGAATCAGATTGTGCGATCATTACAGTACAATAAGGATACTGGATTATAATTAGACATTGAACATATCATGTGATGGATATTCTTCAGCCAGCTGCAGAGGTTATTTAACACCATAC